ATCAATAAATCAACAAACAAATGCTGGCCAGGATGTGGAGAAAAGGGAACCCTCGGGCACTGCTGGTGGGAATGCAGACTGATGCAGCACTCTGTGGAACAGAGTGGAACTAGTTTGACCAGCAATCCCACTTCTGGGAATGTATCTTAGGAATCCTGAAACACCAATCAGAAAGAATGTATGCATGCCCCTATTTAGAGCAGTGTTATTTATAACTAGAGGCCCGGAGCACAATATTTGTGCACTGGGGGCTGGGGGAGGGAGAGTCCCTCAGGCTGGCCTGCGCCCTCTCACAGTTTGGGACACCTTGTTCCTTACAATTTGGTTCACTACTTCTTAGTGCTGCTGCGGAAGCAGGAGAAGCTCTAGCCACTGCAGCTGTGCTGGCGAGCTGTGAGCCCGCTTCTGGCTGAAGACACTGACCACCAGGGGGTAGCTCCTGCATTAAGTGTCTGCTCCCTGATAGTCAGTATACATCATAGTGACCGGTCTCGTTCTACAGTAGTTCCACCATTTGGTCGATTTGCATATTAGGTTTTTATTATATAGAATAATTAGCAAGTGGAAACAGCCCAAGTGCCCACCAGTAGATGAGTGGATAAAAAAGTTGTGGTACATTTACACAATGGTAAACAGGGTGGCTGAAAAGAAAGGATTTCTTACCCTTTGTGACAGCCTGGATGGACTTGGAGAGTGAAATAAGCCAGACAGAGAAAGACAAATACCACAAGATCTCACTTATGTGTGGAATCTAATGAACAAAATAAACTGCTGAACAGGTCCAGAGGCAAGGATGCATGGAACAGACTGACAGACTCCAAAAGGATGGGGGTGGGAAGAAAGGAAAGAAATTAACCAAAGAACAGACACGCATGAATGCATAGCCAATGGACACAGACAATAGTGTGGTAAAAGCTGGGGAGGGGCAGGGGCTGGTTGGATGGGGGCAAAGGCAGAGCTAATGGGGACATATGTAATACTCTGCAATACCATCAAACATAAAATAATAAAAATAAAAATTTAAAAGCTCTGCAGTTAAGGTATATGTGAAGAGGGAGGAAAAGTCACTAGGCACAGATTTTTTTACTTTGTAAGGCAAAGCAAGGGGGGGGGGGAGCTGATGGGACTCCAAATCTTACTCCAATCATGTTGCCATGGAAAACCAGGGGCTGATAGCTTTGTTAGGGGCTGCACAGCTGTGTTTTGTTTTTTAATTGACTTTTTTTACAGAGAGGAAGAGAGAAAGATAGTTAGAAACATGGATGAGAGAGAAACACCAATCAGCTGCCTTCTGCACACTTCCCACTGGGGATGTGCCCTCAACTAAGGTGCATGCCCTTGACAAGAATCAAACCTGGGACCTTCCAATCCGAAGGCCGATGTTCTATCCACTGAGCCAAACCGGTTTTGGCCAGTTTTTATGTATGGTAGTTCTCAATCTGGATGTTTATTCCTTGGGGCTGTCTATACAAGTATTTTAATAGTACTAATGAGTGGACAACTTGAGATCAAGTAATCACAAGAGATCACTAACAGTCAGACATAGATCCCTCTCATTAGAAACCTCATTGTGAGCAAAGGAAAAAAGCCTAATGAGATTTAATGGCTTATTTAACACCAACTATTGATAAGACTTTACCTACTAGCATCTCTTTCTCATTCAAAAATGTTTTATACAGTATATGCTATTTTCTATCCATGTACTTCTTACTTCACCATTAGACAAAAGCAACCATTGCACTGAAGATAACAAGTCAAAAAAGGGAATTTAGAATTAGGAATGAGAAGTTTTAAAGTGGCAAACCCGCTGAGAATTTTGCAACAGAGTTCTGAGAGAAGGAAAGAAAGAAATTGAACTGCTGACATTAGAACTATATCCCTCATCTTTCAGGAGAGGGAGCTGTCACAGGAAGAGGAGGGACTGAAGAAGACAGGAACAGTAGACCTAAAGAAATCAACAACCCTATGTACATGGGGTGGGAGGCTGAGAAATGCTTACTGGCCATCAAGCTGGCTGCACAAAACATAAAATGTCAAAGGTTTTCCCCAAGAGAAAAGAATCAAAGTTCCTTTTTATCTCCACTGAAACAGTTATGATGAAGAGTTGGTAAAGCTTAGGAGGCATCCTTTAAACATTTGTAGACCAAAACAAAAGGGGAGAAGGGCTCACAGATTATCATAAACAAAACAACATGAATGTACATTTACTTGAAATTCCATGGAAGACACCGACAATATTGTCTTAAGGGAAGATAGTTTATAAATAAATTCTATTAAATGACTATTATTCTGAAAACATAATGAATGAAAAAATCAGGCTGTGATTTCAAAACGCTTACAAGCCAGTTAGAAAAACATGATTAAAGCGATAGCTGCTGTGTAAGACAATAAATAACAAAAGTAAAGAAAGAATCTATAAAAGCATTTAAGAACACAAAACCCAGTTTGGGGAATATGGAAAGGTTAACTGAATAAGAATAAAAGTCAAAATGAATTACATAGCACCCATTAGTAACCAATTATATATAATAATATTTTAACTATATTATATTTTAATAAATAAAAATAGAAAGATTTTCTTAGGACTACTTACAACCTCTTTCCCCAAACCATTTTATCTCCGTGATAAAATTATTTATCTCCATGATACATTATCCATTCACAAAAACAGTCAATGTCACACATGTGATTCTGAATAAAATTAGACACATGCTTTCAAAATATTTTAACATAACTAGGAAGAAGGTATGTAAACAGAATAAATGCTGAAATGAAACATCCTCAGTGCTACACAGGCATATGAACAAATTACTCTTATTTGATTTTTATAGAGAGAGGAAAAGAGAGGGGAAAACATTGATGTGAGAGTGAAACACTGATCAGCTACCTCCTGCATGCCCCAGGGGACCCAGCAAGCAATCCACACATGTGCCCTGTGGCAACCTTTTGGTACTCGGAACTACACTCTACCAACTGAGCCACACAAGCTAGGCCATTACATGGAAATATCTAATGCATATTTATCTTTCAGATAGTTGGGTGACTTAAGACCCAGTATAAACTCCTTTAACTAAATATGCTTGGCTTTAAAAAAAAGTAGTGTCTAACACTTTTCTTGAGCACTTTAAAAAGTCACATGTAATCAACCTCAATCAATTTCATGGTGACACTGGGGGATGAGAATTACTGTTACTGAACGGAGAGTAATGGAATCATTTGGTAAGCAGACATGGGAAATTCTACTGAAGTATTTTTACTGAGATGGTACTCACCTAAACTCTTCTGATCTTATCCTGACAAAGAACCAGTGAATCATTTACCCCAGCTGCACTCTTCCCACTTATCCCTCCCTATAAAGTCACATATTGCCCTAGCGGGTGTGGCTCAGTTGGCTGGGAAGAGTCCTCCCCTACTCCAAAAGGTGGCCAGTTCCATTCCGGGTCAGGGCACATAACCCAGGTTTCCAGTTGGATTCCCCACCAGGCTCCTGGGGGAGGCAATCAATCAATGTTTCCTCACACTGATGTTTCTCTGTTTCTCTCCCCCCCCCCCTCTAAAAAAACAATAAAGAAAAAAAAAAGTAAACATACACCACAACAAAATGGAAACCATTACTGCTGAAATAAAGCCTCAATGAGGTTAGAGTCGTCGTTTTAAGGCTTCAGAGTTACACTGCAACAACTAACCACTAGATCTACCAGGAGGGGACTCATTATCTGCTCTTCTTCTCATTCACCAAACTGGCTGGTTTGTGTTCTACTCCAAAGTGCTGCTAAAGAATTAGCAGGAAGAACCAGAGAGATTCTATAATCAGGCTGGTTCCCTTTCCCCCCTGCATTACATCCTAACCTCCAAAATGCTACCTCAATTATTAGAGCACCATAGAGGGTCCAGAGGAGGGAGAGGCATAGGAGGAAGAAGAGAACGATTCAATTTCAGTGTGTAGCGTAGAAAGGAGGATGAAGATACACAGATGAAGCACTGAAGTAAGGGAAAGATCAGCACACACTACGATTATCCAGGTTAGACTTTTAGGAGATGGCTCTTGAATATGATCAGTGAAATTCTGTTTATTACCAGGTTTCAGTAACAGGCTGAGACTCAATTGACATACGTCAAACTATGAAAAACTTTTAAGCAGAATACGTTCAATCCAGAGACACATTCTTTAAAGTTACCTTTCAGGATGGCACCCTGATCTAATAATGACTATAAAGGTGCCTGAGGCAAAAACTAAGGAATAGTTTATGTTTTATTAAAGTATGTTGTCTTTTATTTGGAGGCTAAAAAAAAACAAGTATAATTTAACCAAGTCTGAAGTCCTCCGAAACCAAACTAAATTAAGTTGTCCTTATGTCAAATAACGACTGAGTAAGCCATGCGTCTCAAGGACCCTAAACGCTGCAGAAGATGGTTTAAAATAGAATACATGAAACGACCAGAGGAAACGATTCCGGAAGTTGACCGAATCATCACGATGACACCCGGCTTTCGTGTTTCAAGACACACGTTTCTCACCAGAACCAATCCTCCAAACTCTGCAATAAACATGAGTTCTGATAGGTCATTTGCCCATCTTCTCCTCCCCCCACCCCCTAAAGATATAGTAAAAAATTGTAAAAATCCTCATTTGTAAATAAGACGCCGGCCTGCGCCTGGGGCACGAGGGATCTGCAGAGCCAGGCGGTGCGATGGGCGGGAGCCCGAGGGCCCGGGCCCGGGCCCGGCAGCACCTGGGCAGGAAGGGGCTTCCCGGGGCCACGGCGGAGCCCGCGCCCGGCCGCCGCCGCTTTTGTCTGCGCCGGGATCCCCGAGCGGCCGGGGCGCCGGGCCGCCGGGCCGCCGGGCGCCTGGCCCCCCGCCCGGCCGCCGCGCACTCCGTGTCCTCGGCTTCCCTCCAGCGCCCGGCTCCCGCCCGGCTCCGGGCTCCAAGGCTGCGCCCCCGGTCCCCCAGCCCCCCGACCCCCGCGCCCCGCGCCCGGCCTCCGCCGCTCCAGCACCTGCATTCCCGGGGCCCCGGGGTCAACCCCCGTGTCCAGGACGGCGATGAGCACCCCGCGCCCGTCATACTCCGGGTAGCGGCAGAGGAAGGAGGCGGCCCCGGTCTCTTTCTTGGGCAGCAGGCCGTGGAAGGGGAAGGGCTCCTCGGTGGCGGCGGCGGCCATGGGCGCAGGAAGGAAGGCGAGGGAGAGGCAAACTGCCAGGCTGCGCGCGGAAGACGGGCGGGCGCGAGGACACCCGGGCGGCCGCGGGCCTTGGCGAGGGCGAGGGGCGGGACCACGCCGCCCGCCAATCCCGGCCCGCCAGGCCGCGGCGGCCAATCAGGAGCGGGACGTCAGCTAACGGCGCGCGCACTCAGGAGCGCCGCCGAGTGCAGCCCGGCGCCGCCGCAGAGGAGGAGGCGGGGCCTGCGAACGGGCCGGGGGGTTCGGTGCTGGAACCCGGGCCCTTAAAGGGACGGGCGCGGAATGTGCCCGGTGCGGTGCGGGGAGAGAGGGGGCTGGCTTTGAACCCGAGGGTTCGCGTGTGTCTCGGGCGGAAGCGCTCCTCTAGGGACGGGGTGGGAAATGGGCCAATATTCTGGAGGTTTGGGACTCCCCTCTCTCCCCACGCTGGCGAGCGATGGTTTCCGAACTGGAGGTTGCGGACGCAAACTTTTCTCCGGTCAGTTTGCACTCCACAATGGTTGGCAGAACTTAACCCTTTAGAAGTCGTCGTGCATCAGCAGAATTCCGGACACACGTGGTTCAAGGAGGGTTCTTGGATTCAGGGGCGTGTGATGTGCCCCTTGGACCCAGGCTGGGGAGGAATCTGGGGAGGAATCCGGTGAGACCGCTGCAGTCAATGGGAAGTGAGGGATGGGCCCTTCACCAGGAGCAAAATGGGAAACTGAAGTGGATCCTTCCTATCCTTATTGCTTCTGAAAAACATTTATTTTTCTCTCTCTTTAAATTGCAGTACTTGGTTGCTCCTTAAGGTTCTCCATCCACTCCAGTGTAGAGTCATAATTTGCAGTTTTTCAGATTTTTCGGCGGCGGCTGTCAATTGTTCCATGATGCCCTAGTAGCCCTTTAATGATCTTTATGTTTGTTTTTACGCCAGGATAATCTTAATCATTTTAGTCTCTCTCTCTCTGTGTGTGTGTGTGTCCAAGATTTCTGTGGCAACCCGGCGAAGGTGTACGGATTCCTTTTCAGAGCAATGTTTCTAAACATATAAAATAAAATATGTGATTACAAAAGCAATGATGTTGAAATATGGTCATCAAATGTATAAAAACCAACTTTGTTAAATAGCAATTGTTTTATATGTGTGTGTATAGTTGTATGTATGCTTCAAATAACAGTACTTAGAACCAAATCCATAACTTCAAAATAGTGAAGAACATAAATTATATTTTGAAACATCTGTAACAATCATGCAATAAGGCACTGATTTTTATTAGTGACAGAGCAGCAAACAGTAACTGCTAGTACTACTCTGGTTATTGCCTACATTCCTAGTTGAAGGAAAGTAAGAGGTTAGTGAAAATAAACATTTTTTTCCTACACGAGTTTTTTTTTTTTTTAATATATTTTATTGATTTTTTTACAGAGAGGAAGAGAGAGGGAGAGAGAGAAACATCGATGAAAGAGATTCATCAATCAGCTGCCTCTTGCACACCCGCTACCGGGGATGTGCCGGCAATCAAGGTACATGCCCTTGACCGGAATTGAACCTGGGACCTTTCAGTCCACAGGCCGATGCTCTATCCACTGAGCCAAACCGGTTTTGGCCTTACATGAGTTTTTGAACCCCTCAGATTCTATCATGGGTCCTAGGTGTTAAGGGAAGGCCTCTGTGTACCTTTTTCCAATCCATGGGATTTAGGAGATCCTCCATGAAGTCTCAAAAATTACAGATATGGCTGGGCAATAGTTTTAATTGATTACTTGACAATTTATTCATTTTATAAATCTCAGACAATCATTCTCTTTAGTAGAGAGAAAAAGGAAAATGCAGTAGTTAATGTTTTCCTTCCTATTCTCAACTGTGTGTGTTATAATACCTCTGGAAAAGATATTCAAACTAACAGGCAAGAAAAGAGAAAGACAAATTCTTAGGAGACATTCAAAGAAAACTTGCACTGACAGAATAGAATAGCTTCCAATTTCAAATTAACCATAGTCCAATCTCTTCATTTTATAGATGAGAAAGCAAAGCTAGACAGGTTAACTGACTGCCATAGGTTACAAAATGGATTAATGACAGAGCTGCATTTCTTTCCTCACGATTTTACCCCCAATATTTTCTAACACACCAGTTGTGTGGATGAGGAACTATTCATTATTAAACCATTAGACTTCTGTAACAGTGTTCAAAAATATTTTCTTTTCATGGATCTCATAAAAATGTTTTAGAAAAGTTTTGGATATGAGTCTACAGGAGCTGAGCAGGGTTATTAGGGACAGGACATTGTGGACATCAGAGTCATTCTTTGGGTAGCCAGGAGTTGAGGTGACTCAAGGGCACATGACACACACATTTTATATACCCCTGAAATCACTTTAAGTATGTATTCCGTCCTCTATTCTTGTCTTCATGTCCCAGTATTCTCCACACTATGAGTTTACACCTCTTCTTTGATGTGATGACATACTCAGGTAAGGGGAAATCTTTCAATGCTGTGTCTGGACAAATGGACAAACAGCTTGACAGTTCGTTGGCTATTGGAAGGGAACAAGCAGAGGATTTTTGGAGTAAACAATTAAGACGGAGATAAATAAAACAAGGGCTTAGGAATGGGAGGAGGAGGAGGAAGGGGAGGACAGGACACAATAGGTCAGTCACCCTATCTGGCGTACAGTAATAGGCAAGTCACTCAAGAACCTCCCACCTTGCATTGTGCAAAGCAGGAAATGGGGAGCCAGGTGTTCTTAACGCCCACCTCCCTTCGCCATCACCTGCCAGGTGAACTGCAAGCCAATGCAGCGTTCGGGAGAGGCAAAGTTCCCATGAGTCACCTCCTTTGTAACTATTGCTGCACCATATCATTTAGAGACATTGTTGTTAATCCTCACCTGAGGATATTTTGTCCATTGATTTTTAGACAAAGTTGGGGGTGGATGGCAGGAGCGATATGAGACATGTGGATTGGTTGCAGGTACCCGGGCCTGGGCAGGGAACGAACTCAGGTCTGGACCTTTCAGTGTATGGTCAGATGCTCTGACCACTGGACCACACTGGCCAGGATGAGAATAATTTTTAATCAAGCTCCAAAACCATGGCAAGCATGTCAAATTCACGGCCCATGGGCTGCATGCCTTGTTTCTTTGGCCTGTGTTAGCCTTTGAGTTGTGTGTATGGAAACTAGCACACTATAGAGACTGTGAAATCCTGCACAGCATTTGCAGTGAGGCCACTCTTCCTGTAGGCGGCACCCAGGCAGTCACTGAGTGAAGTGGGAACACTAGGGCTGATCAGTTCCTGGGAGATGGGGAACTTCTTTGATAGCTGAGTTAGGCTGAAGGACTCCCCACCCGATTTGCTAGAAGCCTTTTCTAGATCCCCATGTTAGTCTAGGATGCTTCCATCTAACCTTCGCTTCTGTCTTCTTTACTCAGGGTCAGACTGCATATGGGCCTGATGGCTCTCCAGCCTTCTGTGGGCCTTTGACTGTTTTCCCTTGCGCAGACATTCTCCCCCAATAGCATCCGTGCTCCTTTAAGCCCTTCTTGTCATCAAAGTCCTTCTGCTTCTCCAAGGACCCAAACTAAAATGGCTCACACCAAAGAAACTGGGGTGCAGATGCTTAAAGCTTCACCATTGCTGCCCCTGGAAGGCAAAAGCCAGCGTTACCATTCCAAGTGCTCCTGCTTCCTGGGCACCTCTCCAGGGCAGTCAGGAAGTGTTTACTGACTGCACTGGAATGTTTACTGGTCGCAAAGTGTTAGGCAAATGCCTGTTTCCAGCTGTAAAGAGGCTGGGAGACTTGAGTTTTCTGACTTCTTGAATGGACAAACAAGACTGGTAATGTGGGAAATTCTGTAAACACTGGAAGGATTTGCAAAAGATGGTTATTAATGAATAAGATTTGTTAATCACAACAAATATATATATATGCATATTATAGATTAGGTGTCATGTGTTATATATGTGTGTGTGTGTGTGTATGTATATATATGTTACTTAGGAATGTATATGCCTAATATAAGTATATAGAGTGTTGGGCAAAAGTAGGATTACAGTTGTGAGTACCTGAAACAGTTTATTCTTATTTATTTTTCTACTATTTTCCATACACACAACTTTAAACCCTACTTTTGCCCAACCTATATCTACCTATAGATAGATAGATATAGATATAGATATCTAATGTATGTATGTATTTTATATGAGTAATCTAGATGAATATATATATTAGAGACCCGGTGCATGAAATTCATGTAAAGGGGGTATGTCCCTCAGCCCAGCCTGCACTCTCTCCAATCTGGGACCCTATTGGGATCTGGCCTAAACAGGCAGTCAGACATCTCTCTCACATTCCAGGACTGCTGGCTCCCAACTGCTTGCCTGTCTGCCTTCCTGATTGCCCCCAACCATTTCTGCCTGACAGCCTGATCACCCCCTAACCACTCTCCTCCCAGCCTGATTGATGCCTAATTGCTCCCCTGCCAGCCTAATTGCCCCTAACTGCCCTCCCCTGCAGGCCTGGTCACCCCCAACTTTCCTCCTCTGCCAGCCTGGTCATTCCTAACTTCCCTCCCCTGCAGGCTTGATCACCCACAACTGCCCTCCCAGGGAGGCCTGGTTTCTCCCAACTGCCTTCCCTTGCTGGCCATCTTGTGGTGGCCATCTTGTGTCCACATAGGAGCAGCCATCTTGTGTGTTGGAGTGATGGTCAATCTGCATATTTCTCTTTTATTAGATAGGATAGAGGCCTGGTGCACTGATAGGGGCCAGCTGGTTTGCCCCAAAGGGTGTCCTGGATCAGCGTGGGGGTTCCCTTGGGAAATGGGGTAGCCTGGGCAAAGGGCCTGTGGTGGTTTGCAGGCCTGCTACACCCCTAGCGATCCAAGTGGAGGCCCTGGTATCTGGGATTTATTTACCTTCTACAATTGAAACTTCATAGCCTTGAGAGAAGCCAAGCCTCCTGCTCTCTCCAGCTCCATAGCTCCAGACATTT